AGGCACTTGGGCTCGGGCAACATATTGTGAATGATGTGACCTAGCAAAGCTTGTGACCAGATAAGATAATAGCCCAAAGAAGTTATTCACATGGTCGTGGGTCCCAATGCCCGCTGGGCCTACTACAACTTCATCATCAAATAATTTATTAATTAATTAATAAAAATTAAACGAGTAATGTTAGAAAATCCGACCACTTTAAAGAATGAAAATTACTGTCAGCATTACCCACCAAAAAACGTAGTTAAAATTATCAATGCCCTAAAAAGGTGATTAGCTATTTAGATGGGGATATGAAAATGCCAACATCACTGCAAGTAAAAGCTTTGATTGTTTTCATGAATTGTAGAGTGTAGCTATCCAAGGAGTTGTGTGGACTTGTTGTGAAAGCTACTTAAAACTGATCCCAACTTGTAATTTCAAGTAGCCAAGTGTGAAGGTAATATTTGAAACTCTCTAGATTCACGATAACAATCCATTTTAAAACTTTCATTGATTTATTGATATTTTAAGATATTAAATAAAGGTCATAAATTGAGTAATTTATACCCACACCATTTCTCCTAAGATTTTAGGTTATTATTATTATCATTAATTATTTTTATTTTTTTGTGTTTACCATAGTGATATCAGACCTCTTAAAATATTTTACAATTTATTATTGAACACATGTAGTTTACCCATCTCACATACACCAAGAAAATTCTATGGAGGAGGTCCCAAGGAAATTCGATCTTCCCATCTAAAAAATTGGGTTTGGATATAAGGTGTGTGTATATATGTATATATATATATTTTTTTTTTTTTGGTTTTAATACCCTCCCTAAATGTTGTCAGGTCAGATTGATTTGGTGTAATCTAAGAAGATATGAAATTGGATTTTGCAATTGTAGATTACCAAAACAGCACCTCCATGCATTTGGAGTGTAGATTACCCCACTTGACTATTATTTTGAATTCATTACTCTAAACAGCAAAAACCCTAAACATACGAACATGCCCACGGACACCACCATTTGCTACTATCAAAGTCGGTTCTTCGGTCGCCTAAGACCTGCCAGCAAAACAAGGTTCCATTAGATTTTTTTACATTTAGATTCGGTTTGTAAAATATCAAAATATTTTCTTTTTTCAAGTAATATTTTTCTTCTTCCTTATAATTTTTTCTTTTTTGATAATTGACAAAGATATAAATTGAAGTTGAGGTTAAGTTCATAGGGTGGAAGTATAAAAATTACTTGGATAAATTATTTTTTAAAAAAAACTAAATACCAATATATATATATATATATATATATATATATATATATATATATATATATTTTACATCCAAATAAAACAGTACGTTTTGGAAGCAGTGCCAATGTATACTCTTTCAAAAACTCCTGATGCAAGTCTATCTTGAAGATGGAATGAGATAGTCACAATAAATAAGAAGTACAAAACAGCAGTGCCAATGTATACTCTTTCAAAAATCTTGATGCAAATCTATCTTGAAGATGTAATGAGATAGTCACAATAAATAAGAAGTATAAAACATCACGAGGGTGGAAAAATTAATTAAAAACTAGATTTATAAGATGAAGATCTTAAATTCAAACCAACGGATCAGTGACCTAGCGATATCGGTCTCTTACTTCTCAAAGGGAGGTCAGGATTTCAAGTCTCAGAAAAGACATGTATGTATGAGTACCAATTAAGAAAAAAAAAAATCTTAAATTCAATTCACTCCCTTAGAGCCCTTAAAGCTAGCCTCTAAATTTTTTTGTACAACTCACATGTATGTGAAGAGTCACATGTGTAAGTGTTGGGATATGTCCGATACTTATGTTATACCGCAAAGAATCCCAACTCCTCCCACAAACATTGTCAAGGAGTCTATCCGGTCCAACTTCACCACCAAGATGAATCTTTTACCTTAGGCTTTCGTCGCATTAGAAAAATCTCTAGCAACTTCACAATAAACTTCGATTCTAAAGTGAATTGTGATATTATACAAGTTTTTCCTTCATCTGTTAGTGTTGGAAAATTTTGCTTTTGTTCGAGTAAGTTTTAGAAGTTTTGCTTTTGTTCGAGTAAGTTTTAGGTTTTAATTCGTGAATAAAATGTGTGAAAATTTTGGTAGATATCATTTGAGTGGGTAAGAAGTTGTTGCAATTAATAACAATGTATAGCACGAAAATATAATAGGTATTTCGAGGATATCGATAATGTTGTATACTATATATGCATTAATGGTAACTATAGAATCAGTACCCCTAAGTAGCACGGTTTATAACTGCCACTCCCAACAACCGATGTTAAAGGTATCCTATTGGTGTTGAGCAGTAAAAAGTTAAAAAGCAATCCATTGTACAAGCAATTTCACATGCAAAATACTGTCTTTTTTGGATGGGCAAAGCAATATAAAAATTTCCAAAAAATTAATTATTTTCTCCTTCTATATATAAAAAGTGAATTTATCCAAACTGTGTTTTGTCACTAGCAAGACACAAAGACATGAGAAGCAAGACTCCACGCCTCCCACACCTTTCTCTCTCTAGTTCTGCGTCTTCTTCTGCTCTTTTTTTTTTTTTTGTTGCCAATTTGTTCCAGTCTGGTCATAGGTGGGGATTTGATTTTCTGAATCACAAAAAACAAATAATTGTTTCCTGAAAAAGTTTTCTTCCTTTTTAAAAATCTTTCATGATTGAATTTCAAGGCATATATAGGAGTACGTGTAGAGCCATGTGAATTGTAGGCACCCAGGGATGGGAAGCAAAACCTTTTCCACAATCATTCTCTTAAATTTTCTTTTCTCTCGGCCTTTTCGCCATTAAAAAGTCTTCTCTCATTCATCCTCTTCTCGTCGTTTTCAATCATCTCTGCTTCTCTCTCTCTCTCAAGTCATTTCGATCTTCATCATATAGTTCGATTTGTTCGTTCTTTGCAGTGAAGGTAAAAGGTCCACCAATTGAGCAAGCTCTCTCTCTCTTCTCTGCTTCATTTGAGGTAATTCTCCGAGATTCTCATAGTATTTAATCATTTCTTGACTTTTTCTGTTTGTTTGCTAGTCATTTGAAAGATGAAGTGAATTTTAGTTTTGGATTTCATTCATGTTTCATATATGTGTTTAGTTCTCAACACATGAAAGAAGCATATTTGAGAGTGAATTTGTATTAAGATCACCTAAATGGAGATAATTTCTGTAAAAATTTTTCTGCTTCCAAGCAATGGAAAGTTCATAAACCAAAATTCTTGATCATTATTATTATTATTTTTGCTGCAAATTCATGTACTCGTTTCGAAAATTATATTTCGAGTATTTTCAATCCCAATTGTTGACTTATGTTTGCATTGTTTTGTCACAAAATCAGCAAGTTCATATTTACTGGGAAAAAAGAAAAAAACATGAAGTTCATATAAAGTCAGTCTGTTAATAACATTACTTTTTGGAAATTCTGATTTTTTTTGTCTTTCTTTTGTTTTGTTGCTCTTTATAGCTTTTACAAATATCTTTTTTTTTTTCTTTTAATTTTATTAAGTTATATGATCAGTCTTTGTAGTTAATAATTAGTTAATTAAACACATTGCACACTTTTAGACGGATCATCTTTAATTATTAGTCAATAAATCAAAAAATATATATATATATAAATAACTTTCTTGTTTTTTGAGTTATAATGAACGTCTTAAATGTGATAGTGAGAACGTCGTCTCTCGTGACCATCACTCTCATGGACAGCAAAGATTGGCCTGTACGTTGCGACCCTTTTCTTTAATTAGCAAACTACTCAGACAAATCTGTGTGAGTTTGTGTATTGGAATATAAGTTTTTAGCAATTTAGCTGTTTCTAACTAGGGTTACAGTAATCTTGTCTTTCGTACTGACCCAACATGTTCCCAGCTGACCAAATTGCCCTTGAAAATGTAAGGTGCTCAGAGGTCTTTGTTGTGAACAAACCATAGCTAACATATGTTTATTCATTTGAGGTACTTGAAATGACATAAAACCCCCTGAAAATAGTGCTATTAACTCCAATGTTCTTCGGATCCTTCATGTGTGTCATGCACCTGCAGTTCCAAAACATCACTCTCAATCCTCACCTACAACTGGTCTCTGTGTGAGACCCACCACAGATGTGTTGATATAGCTAGATTTTTATTAGGGAACTTATGCTATATATGAATCTATAGAGCATCAATATCTACTATGCACAAAACACTTTCCTTTTTCTAATATATAAATATAGGGTTAGGTAGAGTCGTTAGTGTTCCTCCTTGATCCACGACTCTTGGAATTAGGAGAAGTGATTGTGCGAGCCGGATATGCCATGTGATTAGTACGTTGGATCAGCCAACGGAAATTTACTAAGCACTGTAATTGGTCTCCATACTTGAAAAATATTTTTTAAAACGATTCTTCATTAAATGAATTGTAAAATTTTTATTGACCGGACATACCAATCGACTTAGATATAGATCTAAGCTTTGACACAACGTTTCGAATTTGTACTCCCATACTAAATTGTGGAAGAACCAAATAATTTATTATGGTGTTTTTATTATGTATTTGTCATATTGCACCCTCAAGTAATTTAAATCATTCATGCAATAACTACGTTATATTATTATTAATTTTTAATATTGCATTTTACCAGGTAATTATTATATTACGATGTTATGCATTGTTACACTAGCGGTATAACATGCCTGCATGCTTAGATTCCCTCCACAGGAGGGGACCAAAATTTACAATCGAATCGGGAGTCCATGGCTCCCCTTCCACTTGATGGATTGTGAGAGATCCGAACACGACTCCACATCAACAATCAAGTGGATGGGAGCCGTTTCGCTCTCCTTCCGAAGGCTTCCTTTGTTACTATCATCTTTCATAATTAAAATTTAAAATGAACAAATGTCATATTAGATTCTTTTTCACTGTGTGGAGTTAGGTATTGTTCTTTTAGAATATGTGTATAAATATGTACATGTGTTGAGGTACGGATTGCATTTTTGTTGATTTGGTGTGTGATATTCATGCAGAGATGGAACAATCAGAACATGCACAAAAGCCCGCGTCCCTCTTACCACCACTGCCCAGAGACCAGCGAGGCTCACTGGAAGTGTTCAATCCGTCCACTTACAATTCCAGGCCCGCCAACCCGAGTTTGCGCTCGCAGCCCACGTGGCAGAGCTGGATAGAGCCACGTGACAATCCAGAGCTGGAGCAACCCAAGCTTTCCTCCAAGTCGGGTCGAGCAAACGCCGACGAAATCACCTCATGGATGGCCCTCAAGGACCTCATGAGTACTCCTCCACCGCCACCACAATCGCCACCGTTCGTCCAGACGACCATCTCGACGATCATGAACGATCCAGATGGTCAAAAGTCAGCGACTGCATCTCCGTCACCGGGTCAAGTTGGCACCGCCGCTCAACGAGCAGCGGAATGGGGACTAGTTCTCAAAACGGACAACGAAACTGGCAAGTTCAAAGGCGTTAAAGTGAGAAATTCGGGAGATGACCCGAATAACAAACCCGGGAGCTCAACAAGGAACTCGGGTAACTCGATGCGGAGCTCCGGTGACTTATCGGATGATGGGGGAGGTAAAGTACACTGACAAATTTATAATTTAGAAATTATTTGCAATTTTTAGTGTAAGGAACAATTTAGACAAAAATGCATAAATCAATTGGAATAAATGAATTGCAATTCACCATTTTTTATTTTTATTTTTTTATTTAACAAATAAAAATGAATCAACTTGAAATAAAAATGAAAAAAATTTAATTTATTTAAATTTTAAATCAATTTTTTTTTTTTTTTTTTCTAATTTCAAATTCAAAGAGTTGATTTAATATCTTCAAAAAAAAAATTGTAATAAGATGGGAATAGATAGTAATTTGAGAATTTTGTCATACAGGCAAGGAAAGAGGAGGTCTGAGAGTATCCGAGGACATAAAAGATGCATTATCGACTTTTCAACAGACATTCGTTGTTTCGGATGCTACCAAACCCGACTACCCGATCATGTATGCAAGTGCGGGCTTCTTTAAGATGACTGGTTATACATCAAAAGAAGTAGTCGGCAGAAACTGGTAACAATTGTGATCTTCTTTGTAACTGTCGGTCATTAACAAGGTTAATAGGGGTATTTAAGACATTTTGTTGGTATGGTGGGTGCAGTCGGTTTTTACAGGGTGCAGGAACCGACCCGGAAGATGTGGCAAAGATCCGGGAAGCACTGCAGGCCGGGAAGAATTACTGTGGGAGGTTACTGAATTACAAGAAAGACGGGACCCCTTTTTGGAATCTTCTCACAATAGCTCCTATCAAGGACGAAACTGGAAAAGTACTCAAATTTATAGGGTAAGTTTCACATTATAAATCTTTGATTCTTATCTACGATGTCCTCTACTCAAGCCAAAATAATACGGAGTAACAAATATATACCATACTTTTTAATAATAATAAATAAATAAATATCTTGTTGAAAGAAGTCCATTTTACGAAATTTGGTCAAAGTGACAAGTTGATCTCTCGTGACCTGTACTAGAAAAAATATTTTATGGTATCTAGCATTAGTTATACAGTAAAAAGTTAAATTAAGTAAATATTTTAGCTGATTTCTTTCTTTCTATGTGTGAAAGATTTGGGAAAACATTAAATTTCTAAAAGTAAAAAGTAAGTATAGGTCCTCATGTGAAATATATTTATCCATTTTTGGACAGATGTATGTTAGTCTGGAGACAGGATTAACTTAGAAAGTCACCCTTTTCCCCTACTTAACCGCTTCTCTCTCTCTGTTGGGAGAACAGTAAATTTCTAAAAGTAAAAAGTAAACCTCATGTGAAAGGTATCCATCTCTCTGTCCCATATTTTTATCAAATTTTGGACAGATTATGTTTAGTGGATCTGGAGATTGGATTAATTTAAAAAGTTACCCTTTTCCCAACTTACCCCCACCACCCCTCTCTCATGTGAGAAAAGAAAAGGTTGTGACACCTGTCACACCACCTTTTGTTTGGCTTTTATTTTTAACTTTTTTTTTAACCTGGGGACAATTAGGACTATATCAGCCACATGACATGAAGTTACTATTCATGACAATACATACTATCCACTAATTTGTGGGCTTTTGATTCATTTTTCAAATAACAAAATGAGTGGCTATTATAGACGCAAAGAGGAAGCAGCAGTAGTGCCTTTTGTCCTTCCTATAATGCTTTCACTTTTCTTGCCGACTGGGCTCTATCCCAAACCTTATCATTTTGATAGATTCAGTTCTTGATAGGGATGGAATTGAAACGTGGGCCTTTTTTTACCCAATTATTTCTACCTTTTTTTCTTTGGCTAACTGGTCCATCTTTTTCTAGGCATTTTCAAGATTCAATCTTTGATGTTTACTTGATATGGGTCTGCGGATCGGGCCCAATTTTGATCCGGTTTAAACTTTAATCCAACCAATTGTGTCCTCATTTGACAATCGAGTCACTCAAGTTGTTACAAGTGGGATTAGTCCCACAACGGAATATACAGTACTACCCAACAGATTAAATAAATTTTTGGATAAATGTACAAACTTTCACCTGTTACAATTGGTATCAGAGATAGAGTCAGACCCAGTCCTTGATCTGGTGTCACGTCAAACGCTCGATTCGGAGGTGTCTGGGTTTTCTTTCTGGGTAGATAGGGTGGCCCGACTGCAACGAGGGAGTTGCGCAAGTTCGGGTGAGGGAGAATATTATAAGTGAGACTTGTCCCACATCGACTTCAAAGTATAAACTCCAATAATTTAACATTTGATGTCACAGGGTGGTCCCACTGGACCGCACAAATTCACTAGTAAACAATTGTTGAACTTTTGATTTTTTTTTTTTTCCTCCCAGTATAGTAGAAATCAATAATAATAATAATAATAATAACAATTATAAAACTTTGGTTACAATTTCTTTTAATTTTAATTTTTTTTAATAATTCATGTGGATAACATTAATTATTTTTCTTTGGTGATTTTTTTGCAGAATGCAAGTGGAGGTAAGCAAGCATACAGAAGGGTCCAAGGACAAGGCGGTCCGTCCCAATGGGCTGGCTGAATCTTTGATTCGATATGATGGTACTCACTGTACACCTCCTATTACACATTCTCACTAAGCTTTAATGGACCACATAATTTACATAATATCTTATGTATATATGGTGCTTGATGATATGCTACAGTCTACACAGCACTAAAAAAAACATGTTCATCTTAAGAGCATCCTTGATTTGTTAATAGAATATATTGGCCTTCTAACAATATATATCTATATATATGTATATATGGATTCATTGGCTTTATATAATACTCCATAGTACTCAAAAGTATTTAGAAAGTATTGATTAGAATCTTAATTACTCTCAGTCTGCTCTATCATGTTCACAAGTTATCGCTAACCAGTAACCAAGATAGCCAAAGACACTAATATTGTGTTCGGTTGCACGAAATTGGTGCTTTGAAATTGAAATTAGAGAAAATTTACTGGTTTTTATAAAAATTCCCATCTCAGTGTGGTTCCTCTTATGAAGTCTCGGGAAGGAAATCTGCAAAATGACTGTCCTTATATATACAAACTCGCTTTCTTAATATGACTAGCTACACGAAGTAATGTCTTACATATGAGTAAATTGTGTCTAAAAAAAAATTCAGTGACTACTTTGAAGCCTTTTTAGCAGATATACATTTTCAATTGGTAACAGCATAGTTTGTATATATGAATATATAACAGAATCAAAACAATGTCATATTGTCATTTGAAAATGCTGGTCACTAATTAGCAAGCTGTTTTGCAGCTCGTCAGAAGGAGATGGCTACGAGTTCATTGACTGAGCTAGTGCATGCTGTGAAGAGACCACGGGCACTCAGTGAATCAATGAATCGACCCTTCATGAGGAAATCAGGAGGAGGCGGTGAACAAGAAAGATCTGAAGCGCTAGGGAGGCGAAACTCAGAGAATATTCCTCCTGCTAGACGGAATTCACTCAGTGGTACAAGAAAATCAATGCAGCGAATCAGCGAGTTGCCTGAAAAAAAACATAAAAAAACTGGCCGACTTTCTTTCATGGGGTAATTCATTTTATAGCCATTAGTCATTATTTTCAATAAAGACGTGTCTATATGTGTATATGATTAAATGCACATGTTTACACACACACACACACACACATATATGATTCATGGCATGCCATAAAATTTTGGCATACTTCTAAGCTGCGGGGTGATTATCATTCTTAATTCGTGTTATTTTCTATATTCAAGAGGAATTTTATATTTAAGTTCACATTTACTAGACTGAAATGAGAACAAAAAAGGTGACCAAACTTTTATAATGAACTCTATGAATCCTTACATGCATACATATACAAATACTCTTATATTATATCACTATTTTCTTGCTTTAGGATTATGAAGAAAAGTCGTCCTAGTGCTCATGAGAAGGAGGAGGAGTTGTTTGATACTGAAGATGTTGTGGATGATGATGATGAGAGCGAGGATGATGAGAGGCCTGATGACAAAGTAAGGCAGAAGGAAATGAGAAAGGGTATTGACTTGGCTACAACACTTGAACGTATAGAGAAAAATTTTGTCATTACCGATCCTAGGCTGCCTGATAATCCAATTGTAAGACTACTAGTTCAAATTTATATTCCACAAAAACAAATGATGTTTTTATTTATTATTTGATCTTACAAACAGCAAAAGAAGATGTAATATGTTTGTTTGATAATTTTGATTGCTTGGATTTTCAGATTTTTGCATCGGATAGCTTCTTGGAGCTGACAGAGTATAGTCGAGAAGAAATCTTAGGAAGAAATTGCAGGTAACAAAACATTGATATTGGGAAATGTTCGAAGTTCAGGTTTTTTGTTTTGTTTTGTTTTCCTTCCGGGATTTCTGTACTTTTGGTTGAATTGATGCAGGTTTCTTCAAGGCCCCGAAACTGATCCAGCTACTGTGAGGAAAATTAGAGATGCAATTGATAATCAAACAGATGTTACCGTGCAGCTCATTAACTACACCAAGACTGGTATGGTTAACATTTGGCATTTCCATATTCTAATGAACACTCTAAATTAATATAAGTGTTCCTCTACAATGTCTATCTGCTTGTGTATTGGTTGCATTACTTTTGCTATAATAATGACTGAGAACCTGACCTTGATTAAATTTTTTGGCGCCATATTAATTAAATTTCTCTGAAATGACCCTAGGCAAAAAGTTCTGGAATTTGTTTCATCTGCAGCCTATGCGTGACCAAAAGGTAAAATGACCATCATAACAAGAGACATGGTCTTGTGGTTCTAAATGTTTTTTTTGTTTATTAGCTAACAATCAACTGTCAATAACCAATAATTTTCATTGGTTTCTGTAAACAGGGGGAAGTACAGTACTTTATTGGGGTACAACTGGATGGCAGTGAACATGTCGAACCACTTCAGAACTGTATTCCCGAGACTACAGCACAAGAGAGTGCAAAACTGGTATCAACCTTTTATATTGTTCATTGATTTATTCTATACTCTATTTTTCATTGTTTTTGCATGTGATTTTTTATTTGTATACACAATTGAGCTGGTGTGCATTTACAAACGTACAGGCGCGCGCACATACAATGGAACGCAATAACATACTTCATATATGGTCTTACAGTGACTGGTAGAAACATTTTTATGTCTTACTGAAAGAGTTTTCTTTGTACACTCTCAGGTGAAAGAAACTGCTGAAAATGTTGATGATGCGGTTAGGGAACTTCCGGATGCCAATATGGTAAAGTCCAAATATTCAACACTAAAATGATATATTTTTTTTTGGTAAGAAATTTTAATAATTCCAAGGCTTAGAAATTTGTGACAAACTCCATATTTAAATGCAGAAACCAGAGGATTTATGGAGTAATCATTCAAAATTAGTTCACCCGAAGCCCCATAGGAAGGACAGTTCACCTTGGAGAGCTATTCAAAAGGTATAGTACTTTTGACAAATATTTGCACCTCTGTATTCTGACAAAATTTTACTACTTAAATGGAGTCAAGGCTTAATTGTTGTTTACGTAACGAAATTCATATGGATTTTATAGTTATTTCTGTTCCTCTATTAATATAGTTTTAAGGCCATGCACTTCAACTCAACACTTTGAAGGCTTGTATCAATTTGCATGAATTGTTAATGATTTATGTCATTGTGCATGAACTTGGCACGCATTCAATTGAGTGGTTTCAAAGAAAACATCTGGAATCTTTGTTTATACATAATGTAGCATTTAAAACAGATTTATCTATTGTCCTGGTGATCCTGCATTTTTTTTATCTCACTTTGTTGCTTCTCTTGCATTTATTATCTCATTAGGTCATTCATGTGCCATATGATTCATGCTTTGCAGATTCTAGATAGTGGGGAACAAATAGGCTTGAAGCATTTTAAGCCAATAAAGCCCCTGGGATCTGGTGATACGGGCAGGTTTGTCAATTGCTCTCAGTATATTTTTCTTTCAGTTTGGAGGGACTTTGTGGTCTTACTTTGTATTTGATGGTTCTTGTTTTGGTTCATGAGATCTGTTTACATCATATGCGGAGTTCATATTAGGAAGAGTTTGTTAGTATTGGTGCATCAATAAATCCCGTAAATTGTCACAACAATGAATGGGGTGATGAACATCATATTCTGCAACGCCAACCTCTGTCATATCTTACATTAGAATGTTGTGATTGATAAGAATATTATCTTTTTTTATAAAAAAAAAAAAGAACTCATGACAGAAGTGAGACAACTCTGCATTGTAGGGGTTGAAATTTGATATATTTATATTGAAAGACCAGAGTTGGTATTCAACATTATCTGCAGTTATATGTCCCTAATAAGATAGGATCACACCCTTCACTCATGTACTAGGGAAGTGCTCTCAATTTGCTTTAGTAGGTGTAAGTCCTGGTTTGTTACTATAGATGCATTTTTGATGTTCTTGCTATAGCTGTTTCCACCACTGTATGACATAAGTCATATAGTGAATAAATATGGCTAGATTTACTGAATAATTTTTTTTATGTTCGTTATTATACACGGACTGAAATATGTAAGCTATATAAAAAATATAATGGATCATCTGAACCTACAATAGTTTTTCCTTCTGAGAATTCTTGAAGGAGAATTGAGTTATTTTTTAGGGCTAGTCCCAATATCAATTTCTTCCATTTTTTCTGCTTTGACTTTTACTTTTTCATGGAGATAAAGACATAACTTACCGACTGTATGGCAGTGTGCATTTGGTGGAACTGTGTGGAACTGACGAATACTTTGCAATGAAAGCCATGGATAAGAATATTATGCTCAACCGTAACAAGGTATTGAAATCTTCCATCTTCCCCCCACCTCTCTCTTTCCCTCTTAGTTTCACCGGTTTCATGTTCTATGGAAAACACTGTTTATGATGTACCAATGTAGAACCAATTAAGATATTACTTCCTCACCATCTTGTTAGGGTCGCAATCTGTCATATTTATTGAGGCATTGATTTTCATGTGAATTTAATAAATCATTTAGTGCCGGCATTCTCTCCTTTCTCTTGACAGAATTCCTTTCCTTTCTTCATTGCAGGTGCATAGAGCTTGTGCAGAAAGAGAAATCCTGGACATGTTAGATCACCCTTTTCTTCCTGCATTGTATGCTTCATTTCAGGTTAGACATATTGTATGAACTCAGAAAGTAGAATATGGATTTGCACTAAAGATATATGTAGAGGACTGCTATGAGCGGAGGAAACTGATTGTTTAAAGTACTTAACCCCTCTTCATGGATGCAAGAAACTTGAAGCATAAATATTAAACTTTCATGCATGCAAATTTCCTGATGGATTCGTTATAATAGGATTTCCATTTGAATGCCATACACTTGTGTTCTCAAAAGTTTCCCCTATTCTTTTTGCTTCAAATTCAAAATAAGTTAGCAGTTGATATGAAAAGACAGACTTGTCCAATTCCCTCAATTTTATATGGTTTTCTTGAAATATAAATATTAATTTATTTTGCAGACCAAAACACATATTTGTCTCGTAACGGATTACTGCCCTGGTGGAGAGCTCTTCGTGCTTCTGGACAGACAGCCTATGAAGGTTTTGAAGGAAGATGCTGTAAGGTAAAAGAATTTAACAATATTACATTTCGAGTACGAGAGGAGAGCGTTGCATGGTTGTGTGAATTTACTATGGTAGTTTTGAGCATATAGGATTTGAGACATTACCATTGTAGGTTTCGGTAATTTTTCTCTGTATCTGAAGCAAATCCCATAAGCATTTTACTTTAGTCATTTGTATTCCAGCATATTCTACTGCTCATCTTAATTAAAGCCCATTTTTAATCACTTACAAGGCAGTGATCTTGTTAAGTTATTTCATCATTAATTGCTAAATAGAACAATTCAAAACCATTGTTTATTTATTTTATTTTATTTTATTTTGGGCGGTAAGTAAGTTACTTTGTATTAAGAGAAAATAATTTAGTTTACGCTTTTTTTGGTTGGTGCAGTTAGTTTGAACTGTGTTCCTTTCATTTTCTGATCCATACAAAGAATTGATATGGTGTGTGAACTTTTTACCTAATATGGTCCTCAGCTACAAAAATAAAAGGAGACGTGCTATATGAAATTACTTTTTCATGAAGCCATAAGAAATAACTGTAATGAATATATGCTAATGCACATGGATGTATTGTATATTGACCAAAGTTTTTAATCTGATGTAATGTCGTTTAGACATATCTCTTGTGATACTCTTGAGTCTTGACCAATGTCTGACAACCTGTAGGTGTCGCTTGGATACCTGCCTATGAAAATCTAGTGTGCTATGTAATATATGCAAGTTTATGTTTGATAATCTTTGTTTACCATATAGTGAGAAACCTATTGCATCGGCCTGAATATGTAGATTAATCCAACAAGAGAAGGAATTTTTTTTTTTTTTGCTGATATATGACTTGTAATTGAACTGACACAAAGTTGTTGATGTCTGTAGATTCTATGCTGCAGAAGTAGTAATTGCCTTGGAATACCTTCACTGTCAAGGTAGAATTCATCTTTCTTATTTAAAATATTCCTTTAGTTAGAAATCACCTTCAAATAAGTAAGTTTATTGATACTAATTTGAGCATGTCCAAGTTTAAAGATAATGTTTTAACTTTTGTTTTAGTACAAATTGATTATCACTGGAATCTGTATGCTTAGCTTAAATTGTTCATCTGTCTAAAGGATGCTTTATCCCCAACTTCAATCATTCTTCATTCTGGGGTATTCTTGTCCCTACTCTGATTATGTTATACTTCATCCATCAATATAATGCTGACGCTGCACACAATGGATGTAATTTCTAGATAAAAGAATACAAATGATTAGTAATGCTTCAGAGTAATAATGGTATTAAGTCAAGCACTGAAAAAATGGGGGAGAGAGAAAAAAAAACTTACACAATTCAATCTTTGTTTTCTTTGGGAGTCTGCTAAGTGACTGACACTACACACACCTTATAAATAAGAGAATTCGGTCTCTCATATATCATACATTTGCTGTTTACCCTACAGGTATAATTTATAGGGACTTAAAGCCTGAAAATATTTTACTCCAGAACAATGGGCATGTGTCCCTGACAGATTTTGATTTGTCCTGTTTGACATCATGCAAGCCACAGGTGCTTCTACTCTCTAATCTTATTTACTCTATTGAAGGTTATCTTTTCGGAATTCATCTTACTAAGTATGATCACAATACACTCTATTGGGATTGTTATTTTTTTGCAGCTTTTGATTCCAGAGATAAATGAAAAGAAAAAGCATCACAAACGTCAACAAAATCCAATCTTTATGGCTGAACCAATGCGAGCTTCAAACTCTTTTGTAGGAACTGAGGAGTATATAGCTCCGGTTAGTCTAATTTTTTGAACAATATATATATATATATATATATATATATATATTCATTTGAACAAAACATTAATGGATCTCTAGTTATGGGTGCTGCCTCCTTGATTATCATCATTAAATAAATGCATATATTATTGTAGTGATTAGAGATTAAATAGAAAGAAAAAAAAAACTCATATTACGTATTTGCATGCTATGCATTTTTCTGTGGGGCACTACTCAGACATGATAAGCAAAGAATGCATCATTTATGCTTTTATCTTCTACTGCTGTTATGTTCTAGGATTCACCAGTCCTCAGATCTCACTAAAAACTTGTCTCACTGGCTCAATAGATTCATCTTTCAAATTCCAAGCCGCACTGAAATATTTCAAGATTTTAGATTGCCTATTCAGTTTAAATGTCAATCATAGTGGTGGCACTTAGAATCATATTTTCAGGTATAGGTGTAAGGTTCCGATATGAACTTTGATTAAGCTAAAAGGAAGTATTAGAAGTATTACGAGTTAAGCTACAGATAAAATATTGTGCCTTCGAAGAAAAAATACAAATAAAATTTAAAACTATTGAGGGCCAGGGGAGTTGCTTTTTAGTTTCTTCTGCTATCTTTTGTTCAGTTGGCATAGCTTTCAATATGTAGTTGACAAAAAGGTTTCTTCATTGCAATCTGTTGAGATTGTTCTCTTGGGGTTTAAGTAACTTGTTCGCTCTTAAAAAAAATCCTTTATGTTACATGCTTTCCATTCCTTTCAAAAAAAATTCCGATTAAGAATGCCAATTTTCGTAAAAATGTGCAGGAAATCATAACAGGAGCAGGCCATACTAGTGCGGTGGACTGGTGGGCCCTTGGTAAGCTTGCATTTCTTGATTTCTCTGTAATTAGTTCAGACATCATTTGAGTTATAACTTCTTTTAGAATAACTTCTTTCGGTCAAGCTAAGATTTCCAACTCTTCTGTTTTGAGGCCATACAAAGGCCAGATTGAGTCGGATCTTTTAATAGGAATTATTTTAATCCAAGTATCTTTGGGTCAACCACATGTTTGAGCAAGAGGATTCTGCCAAAGTTGTTCCGATCCATCTATGTACATACAAAAAATGGGAAGGTGAAAAAAAAAAAAAAAAAAAAAAAAAAAAATTGAGACAGAAACATGTTCCTTTGATCTTGGAACATGTTTATTTTTTGAAAATTACTAATATTTATGCAGTAGTACTGCATGAAAATCATGTACTGCACTCTCAAGTTCAGAATGATACAGTTTCCACCTCAATATAAACATCTTTAAAAGTAGTTAAATCTCATTAAAACTCACCTAACAATGTCTTTACTGATCGACTTCTGGTTACTTTGATAGGCATTCTTCTATATGAAATGTTTTATGGATATACGCCGTTTAGGGGAAAGACGAGGCAAAAGACATTTGCCAACATTCTGCATAGGGATCTTAAGTTTCCAGGAAGTGTATCGGTGAGATTTTCTAGCACACTTATTCATTCCCTCTCTTAATAAATTCATAAGATCTCAAAATACAAGTTTGCTGAAACAGCAGTATTGCATAGCCAATAAAAAAGAATCACCTAGTGGACTGGTTTTTTGATTTCACAAGTAATGTATCATTTTATTTATATCACGACACATTTTGTTTCTTATATAGAACTTTAGTTCTACTAAAATAAAACTGACACCAGCCATGGAAATGAAGGATTTTTTATAGAAAAAATTAAAATGCTACAGCATTTGAAAGAAATTTTTACCTTGTGCAGGTAAGTCTTCAAGCAAAGCAGTTGATGTATCGATTGTTACATAGAGATCCCAAGAACAGACTGGGTTCACGTGAAGGAGCAAACGAAGTGAAGAAACACCCTTTCTTTCGGGGTATCAATTGGGCTCTAGTTCGTTGCATGGTAATTACAAAAATCTATATAGTATGAAAATTTAGTTTGGAATTCATAATCAAGGTGAATGAAACCTATTTTTTCCTATCTGTGCTGTTTGGCATGATTTTTTTTCTCTTTTAGCCTAAAATTATTTACTGTTATTTCTGTGGGGATGGGGGGATTTAATTTCACATTGACACCCATAGCGTGCCAAAAAAAATTCATGATTGTTACTTATATTTGTATGGATTGCACAAAGAAAAAGCTTGCCATTAAGGTTGAAAATGTTAAAAATTTGTTAAAGTGTGTACCAGTATTGGTAAATTTATTTTCTGATATAGAAAACAATATTTTACGACGAATATAGTAGCTTCTTAGGCTAGTTAAGGTTGTGAGAGATGATCTGCTGTTCTCTACTTTGCATTGTATGTGTTTTTGTTTAGTTTCTAACGTTAACATATGCCATCAAATCTTCAGAACCCTCCTAAGCTTGATGCTCCTCTTTTTGGGACAAATGAAGATGAAAAGGAAGTTAAAGTTGATCCTGGACTAGAGGATTTACAAAAAAATGTTTTCTAAGAGGTCTCTCTCTCTCTCTCTCTCTTTCTCTCTAGGAGAATTTGAATTTTATTTTATTTTTTATTTTTTTATTACTAATCTGGTGCAGGAACTGTATACAAACATGCGTTTATTGTTCAGGGACACACAATGAGAGGACCAGTCAGAGCGTTTCTACAGGTCCATGAATTAGAAGAATACATTGGTTTTGTATGTTTTTAAGCATCTGAATTTACATTTATAGCTGAGCTTTGTAGGTCTTGCAGCCAAAAGGCAATAAAGGTTCTTGGTCATGTCCTGTTTATTTGTATGCAAAGTTTGATGTTATGTAATCTATGTTCTCATTCATGTTTGAGATGTTCTGTTAATAAATTAGTTTGTGAAATCTCTCTCTGCACGAAGATACTGGAAATGGAAGCATATATATATATATATATATATATATATATATATTAATGGAGGTTAATAAGTTGATTCATCATCATTTTAATGTGTCTCAATACTCCTCGTTATTTCTCTTCAATCAACAACAGACTTTCACCAGATGGATGGATGTTTTTTTCAAAATTCTTCCTCTGTGCACTTCCACTTTTTAGGGTTTATGTTCTGCTGTTCGGACAAAACGTCTCTCAAAGCGAAGGAAGAGAGCCGATTGGGATGGCAAAAGGTTAGAAGTACAGAAAAAAAAAATTTCGACTTAACAAGGAAGAAAATCAATCATTCTCGTATTGGTTCGATTTTTTTATATAATATAAAATAATTACCGAGAGCCATATCACCTAATGGTAACTTCTCTACCTACCAAAGTGAATGGTGAGAGTTTGAAATCCCTGAGGGTCAAAATGGGTGTGTGTGGTGTACGTATTTCTTGCCAATGAATATATATATATATAATAGAAAACAATTCTAATATTTGTTTGACTGACAAAATTTTGAAAGTTTGTCTTCAAGAAGTTCGAAAAACATATAAATTCACATAATAGTAACTGTTAGTTACCTGAAAACAATTTTATTTTCAGAGTAAAAAACAACGGTACTTGCTTTTCTTCCACCAAGCTCAAAACGGATACAAGCTTTAAGAAGATGGAGCCAACTAATTGACCACAAGTCATTAGCCATGCCCCCTAAATAGGCTAACCTCCTCAAAGATATTGGAAACTGATGAATCGATTTAGGTGCAATAAGTCATGTCAATATCGACATGAATTTTTAATTTGTTGATGCATTAGATGAAAATTTTCAATCCTAAACTGAAATGATGGAAATTGATGCTTGCAACTTGGTAAACCAAAAAAATTGAATATTTGATCCCATTATAATAATTTCAAAACTTGAGTAAACAGATACTGCCAGCTATTAGTGTCAATTGCCGCCTTCCAAGTAACTTGCCTGCTACATCAAACAAATTGAGCTTCATTACATCATTTGATGAGATAATTCTGATCACATGACTTGCTGCATATCATATCAAGGTAGAGAGGCGGCCTATAATTCGACTCAACTGTACAAACACCGGCTGCTAAGAAACTTGCAGACCAGTGCATTTGGGTGGCCAGAAGATTGTGCATTCCCGACCACACATAGGACAAAGGTTGGAGGACAAAGGCGCATCTCTCATCCAGAATTTGACCTAATCCGATATATTCACACCAACAAATATCGTCTTCGCTGGGATGAATCAGATATCTTCTTTTATATTTGGAGCTAATCCTTTACTCAGCTTTTGAATCTGATAATTCTTCTATGATTGGTTCCGATCCCTTGCACAGTTGAACCTGCTGAACTCTGTTAAAGGAGAATTCAATCAGCTAAAGCATTCAAAAGATCTCAAAAATAACAAGTCCAAAGGAACTAAAGGTTAGTGTATCATCGGAAGTTTCACAGAACATGAAAATGTAGTGATAAAAATACCAAGGCACGTGGGGCTCAAGAAAATTTAAAGGCCCAACAGTCAGGTTTCTCAATAATGCAAAAGCAATTGAATTGAAGCATACAGACCAAATGACTAATTAAAAACTTGCATTCCAGTTCCATTTTTCTTTTTGGTTATTTTTCTATATTGCTCTCAGCATTAAATCTACAGTTGTGAACCAAAGAGAAGCACACATCAAGAAGTGCATTTGCCACCATGATGTGTGTTATAATGCTCCTGAAGGAATAGCGTAATATCTCTTTCTTTGTTTTTTTTTTTTTTTTCGGGAAGGTCACCTTCTTTAATAGGTTGGTGAACAGATTTGGAAGATTCCACACTAAGCTAAACTATATCTTTTACTAAGGTATCATCTACAAGACTACAATGTACCAAACAGCTTCAATATTATCTAACAACTACTAACTACTTTCTTTAATGTGTAAAGATTGAATCTTTGTATGAAAATACCTTAATCAAGGTACCTTTAAAGTCACAACTTGACTGATACCTTGATGGAGTACCAAGCACGATATGTGCCGAGCATCTCTCAATGGATACATAGTTTCTCTCTCTTCCCCCCCACCCATGACCCACCCACACACAATAAAATAAAAATCTTTTTTATTTATTTATAAAAAAACAAAGATAGGCCAATGAAAAGACTGGAAGAGAGCACATCCAGACAAGCCTTCAATTCAGCTGCGATGCCCCAAAACCCCTAGCATCCAGAACGAACTGCTGCAAAACCCACAGTTTCCATGCGATATGCACTAGGCTTCTCATCTTGCTCCCAGCATAGGCATCAATAGACGTCTTAGGGTGCATGCATGCTGAAACAATTTTGATGGGGTGAGGTAGTACATGGCAAGATAAAGGAAACCTAGTTTTGGATATAAAATGTGGTGGATCATATCATAATTTAGGAGATCATTTTAGTCATTGGTTAAGCTAATGTAGGAAACCCTCCTCTTATCCAATATCCAATGTAACGAAGTCCAAGGACAAGGCACAATGTGCACTGGCTGTTCGTGCAGTGGAGGTTCAGTCTAAATGTATGAAAGTAAACTACTTCCTGGATACCCAGGTGGTTACAAACGTTTCTTATGCTTGACAAAGCATTGCCTCATTTTTATTCTGATTAGTTTAGGATCCATCTGAACAAATGGGATTGTAATTCATGGATAATTAAGGTAAAAGAACCTTTCTTTCGGTAGATTTTGTAGTCTCAAGATTTAAACCAGCAAATGTTTCTGACTTTTGAAACGCGAGACTGTTACCAAAAGCTCTGATACACCAATGTGTGAAACTCACAATCATGCATCAAATTAAAAAGGTAGAGCAAAATTTTTACGAGAAAATCCAAAAGAGAAAAACCATGAGACCTATTCCAGAAAGAGACTACAATCAGGTTAACAATTCCCTCCCCCTAGAACCCTAATTACCTCTAGAAATAAATTACGGTAGACTATCCACCAAAAGTCTCCAAGCCGTTCATCCCCTTGTCAACAAACTAACTTCCTTGTTTCTCTAATGATTGCTTGCCCTTTTCTACTTCGATAATTTATCGGGGATTCAACCAGGAGTTTTGAACTCTTCCTTGATGAACACTCAATCACATATGGTGTAGTCCAAAAAAACACTAGATTGAGAAAAATTTGGAAATTTTCCTCACGAGGATTTTCTATCACTAAATGATTAGAGATTCAATTCATACCTAGTTTGATTACAACCCGATATTTATAGCCAAAATAGGAGTCCTGCACATTTTAGTAAGTAGAATCCTTTGTAATATTGTGCTTTCAAGGGAGTTACCAAAATTACATGTTTGTCATGTTCAATCGATCAAAGCCTACTGGACACTCCTCAATCGATCGACACTTCGATCAATGCATTATGGATTTGAAAAAATATTTTTTTCTGCAAAATCTAAATCGATCAACTATTTGGTCAATGGCTACAGGAAGCATCTCTATCAATGCACACTGTTATACAGTTTAAAAACCAGTTTTGAAATATATATAAAATTGACACTGCACTTGAGTCCAGATAAAATAAAATAAAATAAATGTTAGAAAAAGAACCAACAGGGTAAATAAAGACACTATGGAAAATATACAACCAACAGTATTGAAATATATATAAAATTGACAATGCACTTGAGTCTAGATAAGATAAAATAAAATAAAATAAATCTTAGAAAAAGAACCAACAGGGTAAATAAAGACACTATGAAAAATATACAACCATGAAGTAAATTGTTTTTCAATATAAATCCTGCAAACCAATTTATTTTTTCAAGTTTATGTTATTCCATCCAATGGCGGATTGTCAGATAGAGCATGGGTGTTCTGTGAAAATCATTGGTAAACACACACACACATATTCCCCAATCCTTATTTTGCTCAGGATCTCAATGATTTAACACTATGTGGATTGTTGCCTATTCATGGATTTGCCCATTCATTTTGTGCAAGCACACTTGTGCAACAGATTGGACAACACAAACACCAGTACAAGGATTTAGTATTTCTACTACAGTAATATATATAACTTATGTGCATACCTTTGTCTGACTTTAAGTATTCCTGTCCCTATTTGCATTGGTATGCCCATAATGATGCATTCACTTACTCCTTCAATCTTGTCATCCCTCCCATTTACAGAAGCATTAAAAAGGTGATCTGCTGTCTTCTCAAATGAAGCCAGCATAAGTACACTATCTTTCATTTTCTGAATGCCGAATCTTGTGATTCCTAGAACTTCACCCTGATATGGTAACATTCAAAATGTAAATCAAGACCTATACCAAGAATGCATATCTCAACCCCACAATCATAGTTCAAGGATAATGTTTAAGCTTCAGGCATAACACAAGACATCATTTTAACAAAAAAAAAATAACCTTAAACGTCATCAGATCTGCTAAAAGCATCATATGTCGCAAGTCTATGGTCATTCCATGACTTTTCATGGTGTACTGTATTTCGTCAATTATACACCTCCTTGCAGCTTCAATTCCAAGTGTCTGCTGTACTTCCATAATATGATTACTGGATGTTTTACGTCCATCAACTCCTTCAGTGCCCATGACTGCTCGAAGACCCGTTCTGACAAAAGCATAAAATATTATATTATTTATGAAAAAATTCAAAAAAGTATCATAATTTCTACCATATGTAGTATTTTTATTTATTTATTTATATTTTTTTTATGATAACACTGTCATAATTGCAGGTGGTTTGAAACTACCATAGAACTGTGTGATTTTATAAATAAATTTCTTGTCTGAAACAAATACATAGAAAAGAGGGACAAATGTAAACTTTTATTAATTTAAAATGATGCACAAAAACTGGGATGATCTTGGACATTTCCTTTATTTATTATTTCTTTTCTTTTTGGTTGGTTGGTTTGTATGAGGAGTTGTTTTGGAGGCGGAGCAGTGCTGAAGGTAATGGCAGACAACTAACACACCCTTCCAGAAGTTCCTATTAAATCATCACTAGCCAAAAGAAAAAACACTTGAAATAGAGCAAGTAAATGGCAGCTAACTTCTGCCTGTGTGTGTGTGTGTGTGTGTGTGTGTGGTGCAGCATAGGCTGGGGGGGGCCTCATTTTGGTATGCTTGAAGACAAGCATTACACTAAATTAGCTACTTCAAATCACTTTTTTCTCTCATGAAAACATAGAAAGATGACCTAAATTGCAGGTAAAGATGGGAAAACCTGTAATACCCCCCGTATTTTTTAAGAATTTATAAATGGGATTATTAATACTTTTATATATCTAAAATTGGGTTATTTATTTTATGGGCTTTTAATGCGTTGGGTCGTGTTTGGTTTTATGCTGCTGGGTCATGGTGTTCCATGGGTTAGTATTGATTTCGAGTTGGGCCTATTGGTGGGCTCAGTTGGCTAGTATTAAGATTACAATTAGGTTAGTTATAGGGGGATTACAGATTATATGTATAGAGATATAGAGAGAGGGAGAAGAGGAGCGACATAAAACCCTAGCTTTGTATGTTCTAGTTCGTGGAGGAGAAATCAAGAGAGGGCTGTAACCCTAGGCCAAAGGCTTGAGAAGACGAGTTGCTGCCCTATAATCGCGAGGCAAGTACCTTTCTTCTCTTCCCCTTTGGACCTATAAACATTTCACTTTTGAAACGATACACACACACACACAATTATGCACTGTTGAAACTAGAATTTGATTCTGGAAATTATAGATTAAACCTGAAAACCCTGTTAATCTGAACGGCATGAAACAATATTAATTCAGTTAGTGAAATTTAGGTTACCAGGTTTCTGGTTCTGTTAATCTGCTTTGGAAACTGTTTTATGTGTCGATTTGTTGTTTCGCATGCTTTAATTCGTTTTATATGTATTAGTATTACAGGTTCGCATGATTATGTGTAGTAATATTCTACTGTTTTTTGGAGTTTCTGGAATTGATATATATTGGGTGGAAATCGTGTTTTATATAACAACCACTGAATTTCGGAATTGTTTTCAGGATACTAAAACTCGATACAATTCCCGGAACGTTACGCCACCCCCTTGGAACCCAGGCTCGACATTAGAGTAGTTCGCGTAAGGCATGGTTCTATACCAAAAGCAATAACGGGGAAGGGTCAGTTAATTCCATGTTATATGTGCTAAATGATAGTTATCATATTGTGATTGTGGAATGTGTTATGGAACCACTGTGGGCTGACTATTTATGTGTTATGGAATGTGTTATCACAAGTACCTATTGGCATGGTTGATTTGGTATGGCATGGTTGAGTTGGTGGGTACGTGGTTTGGTTGCAGGCATGGTTGAGTTGCCTATTATCTTATGCATATAATTGCTGATCGCATGTTTATGGTTATTGGGTCGGGGGTTATATTTGTTATTCTGTTGGTTTCGTATGAGATGATGGGTTTATCGGTACTCTGTTGGGCTGTAGTAGAGAGAACTTGCTCATGGAATTGACCCATATTTTGTTGACTTTACAGGTCCAGACAGTTCCAGCCACAGGGTTGAGGACTCAGCACTCCATAGCTTGTCGTGGTCATCTACTCTTTCCGGTTTATTTCAGCATAGGTTTTATTGTTCTTTTTAAACTTCTATGCATTTTGGATAGTACTTAAGGATTTGGATTTAGGGGTCCTTGGTTTACGGGACTCCCGAGTTGTAATTAATGGAATTTATGGATTTAAGGACTTATATATTTATCGTTTTCCTTCTTCCATTATATCTTTATTTATTGAATGTTGTATTCTGTGCTTGTTTATTATCAGGTGTTGCATGTCTCCTAATTTTTTTGTCTAAGTCTGGCCAACATATATATGAAAATTAAGGGGTGTCACAAAACCAATCACCTAACTTGTCTGGAATTAAACTAACGTACAAGAATGACATGTTAATTAATTCCAAAGAATCCATACATCAATGAACATTTATATGGAGTGCAGAAAGTACAACTTATTGAAGTTCTTTAATAAACTAACCCTTCTACAAGCAAGTTGTACTTTTCCTTTTCCTTGTCTTTCTTATCTTTATATTTGTTAATTACTGCACGTTCAACTGTATTTATGCCCTGTCATCCAAAAATAACCAAGTGTAAGTTACAAAGAAACTCCAGCAGGTCAAACCGAACGAACATTAATGCAGCATTGCCTTGTTTTAAATAAAAATAATGGAAATTAAGGAAATTAAAAGTTCCATCATTCTCTCACCTTCACAACTACTGTTGGAAGCTTATTTTTGAGCGAGTGGAGTTCAAAATGAAGCCTATGTTTATCAGTCTGAGGAATAACTTCCAGCTTTCTCACATCCAAAACTTTAACATGCTGCAATTAAACATGCAATTGAGTTGTTATTACACAGGAATATTAGACAGCTTTCAAGCCACTATGGAGATATGTCATACTCACCTGTTCCTTCAGTTTGATTTTTGGGGTTCGCAAAATTGATTCTTTTACAGTATGTGCATCTATACAGAGTTGTGAAGATTGAATTCCTTCCAGGTCAAGTGTGACAACTATAGATGCTAACCTCGCTGTCAGTACAATTTTTATACTCTTCGCAACCTAGATAGGAAGGAGGTCAACTTTTAGGCCAATGGAATACAACCCAGCAAGAGGTACTTGAAGAGGTTACGAAATATACTGTAAAATTGGAACAATTCAATTTGAAAAAGAAGATTTGAAATGTGCAAGAAAATAAATGAAACCTCAAAATCACTACATGAAGAAAGCAGTAGAAACTATCATGGCCAATACAAAAATGAAAGGAGAACACCACCTCCATAATGGATCCAGAAACTTATTTTAGGGAGAGCTAGTGCTAGTAGTAAAGGTGAGAGCAGCAGTGCAATGGAATTAACAATTTAGGGCAGTAAGCAACAGCTCCTTTTAAATCTTAATTTCCATATTTTTGTGCATTTAACCTTTCGTTTGTGATTTTGAGTAACAACTGAGCTAGGAAGTTGCACACATGACATGAACGTGTACATGACAGGAAGAAGTCTGATACAATATTTAAAAAGAGCAATATGCATGTACCAAGAGCAATTTCCAATATCGTGAATTCACATAAAGAGCAATTAAAAAACAATGTACCTGGCCTAAGATTGTTTTTTCTATACGACCTTTCACCATTGTTGCAGTTTTCGGTTTATCATCACATTCAAGTGTTGCAGTAATGATGGGAGTGCTGATTTTTTTGGCTCCATTTATAATTTCTTTGATACGAGGAACTCCAAGTGTAACATCTAGCACAAGAGTTAAAGGTCCAAATATATATATATATTTTCCTTGGCAAGAAACTCACACACCCATTTATTATTTTGGGGACTTCAACCCTCGCTTTCCGCTTTGAGAGGTTGAGGAGATACCAATAGGCTACAGACCATGGTGGTAAGGTCCACACATTTAAACAATGTACAATTTAAAAGAATAAGCTGGAGAAAAAATAATAATAATCAACGTGCCAATTGTAATTCAAAAAACATGTATGAGTGATGAAAAAGGATACTCATGCTAGCAACTCCAGCAAAGTGGAAAGTTTTTAGAGTCATCTGTGTCCCTGGCTCTCCAATACTCTGAGCTCCAATTGCACCTATTGCAGTTCCAGCTTCAATTCTCTTCAAATGATAACGAGAGATGCAGGTTTCCAGAAATACCTACATTTCATTTGTTGGGGGGGGGGGGGGTGGGGCGGGGGGTTGGGGAGAATACTATCATGAAAACCATATAACAGGAAATTATCATGAAAAACATTGAGACACGTTCTAAAGATAATAAATATTTCAAATCAACCATGCTGACCGCATAGATCCAACTTCGCAAAAACTTTATTAGCACGAAGTGTATAACAGCATGTCATTACCTGTAATGATGATATTGAAAATTCTTCAAATCACAAATGATTGCTACCTGCTCCTGACTCCTATCCCTTACCTCCCTCCATTTATACAAGGTCATGTTGACCATTATCTTCCTCTCATATCTACACTTTCCTATGAAAGTCCTACATCTTCTTGATCACTCTCCTTTGATATTTGAATGAACCCACACCCCACAAAAAAAATAAAAAATCACCACCACGAGAAAAAAAAGAAGGTACAGGAAAATTTTAAATACCTTTAGCTGTTGGGAAGTAACACCAGATATAGCTTCAGCAATATTTTCAAGAAATTTGGCTTTTCCATTCATAGATTGGTCTTCATCCATTTTCAGTGCTCTCCTCGTGTTTTCAAACCTTTCAACACATTTTTCAAAGAAATTTTTAAGTGAATCTTTGAAGGCCATTGAACAACCCCCATCAGAAGTCATGTCGTGTTCTGAGAGCCTTTCACGAACCGCATCGAGAATTTCAGAAGGAAACATGCTTGCATGTTGTCCAGAAGGGCATGTAGCCTATAAAGGTAATGATCAATATATTGTCATTTTCAACCTCCATGTAAACTTATTTGAAACATTACTATGAATAAGAAAAAAGATCTTTGAAATATACAAATAAAGAGAGAAGCTCAGACCTTGACTTTTGAAAATAATCTGTTAAAATTCAGAGGAACTCCATCTTTCCCTTCCATTTGAGATGGATCCATGCCATCATCACCATATATAAACTGCACTATGCATCCACTAGCATTTCGTACTGTGTTATCATAATGAACGGATAGGTCCTCTAAAGCTTTGATTAGTCTCCGAGACATGTATCCTGTGTCAGCTGTTTTAACCTAAAGTAACCAGAAAAATCCAACAACCGTATCTTTAAGTTCCAAAGTTCAAGCAAAATCACATCGATCAACGAATGGGACTAATTCTTATCACATAGTATCAAATGATAGAAATACAGGAGCTGCTGCATAAATATTGCCTTGTACAGTTCTTAGCCACAACTCAAAAGAGATGACCAATTTAATAAAATTGATTTTTATGTTAGTCACTCTAAGATAATTTATTTCAATGCTGTAAGAAGATGTTAGATAAAAAGAACAGCAAGAAAATTAAATTAAAGGAAGTACAATTTATCTTTTTACTAGATAAAGAAAGATATCTAAAAGGTCGGATAAAATTAGGATAAACCTTGATCCTCACACACACATATAAAAGAGCATCAGATATACCCTAAGTTTCACCAAAGATATTATGCCCCCCATAAAATTCCTTAATAGCTATTCATTTTTATTTTTCTCTGCGTTATTTATTTATTTGTGTCTATTTTGTTTTTGTTTTTGATTTTTTTGTTTGGTTGGGGGTGAGGGTTGGAGTATTTTACTTTGGAGATAGGCGGATATAAATACATGGAAATAGGTGGATTTTAGTTAGACTTTGTGCACCGACACTCGAGTCTAAATGACATTAATGCTTTTACAGATTCTAGACTTACAGAGACTTGCTATGATCCTTTCAAATGTAGTCTTTAGCTCCACAAAGGAGTAGCAGAAGAACTGTTGATGATGACTGTAAACCAGCACACATATTTAACACATAATTATGAGCACCTCCTCTTGACATTATTATCACTCTTTTTCTTTTTTACTGGCAAAGAACCCCCACAATGATTTTGGAGAGACTTGAACGCCCTACCTTTCACTTTGAAAGAAGAGGAGACACCACTAGGCCACAGGCCTTGGTAGCATTGACATTACTATATCTACCAAGTATATTTTATGGTTTTACCAAGGGCACATACTTAACAGAGAAGCAGCCAAACCTGAAAATGTTATAAATGCCCCTTGAATAAATAATAATGACTAGCCCTTCAGAGATTTTCAATATCGTTTTGATACATACACAATGAGGATTATAATATTGTCTCTTACTTCATGACACAGTATGATCTGCATTGCTCTGTCTTTCCCCAAACTTGATCATAGGCTTAGGGAATTGATCAAACCACACCCATGTAGATACTTCAATCCATAGAGCACCCTCTTTAATTTATAAAATTCTAAGAAGAGAAGCCTAGGGGACCACCCATATATACTTTCTCTTCGAGATCTCCATGAAAAAAAATGCTTCAATCCAATTACTAAAGAATCCACCCAGATTTTTTTTTTTTTTGATAAGTAAGAAATTATTAAATCTATAATCATTTCTATAAACAAAAGGGCCAAAGGGCGCCTTAGACCTTCAGAGAGGCCAAGAAAACAATAATTTCCTCCATAGATCTATAATCTCTCCCTGAAACCCAACAAAAAAGAGTAGAAATAACAGAGAACTTAAGCATAGAAACAGGCTTCTTTTTTCCGTCAAATCCACCCAGAATTTAAAGAGCTCGTTCATCTTAGCCATAAGAACAAATGTCTCATAACATCATATGCCATATGTTTTGAGGAAATCCCATGAAAACCAACCGTTCCCTATATATCAATTGTTCCAATTGCCTTCTATTAACAGTGGATATACACTTGCACTTCAATGACTCCTTTCCATCTTGAAGAGTGTTAGCAGATATGATAGCCACGATTTATGGAATGACTTACCGTATTAGCAGAGATTTGATTATGGTATAAAATATGATATAAAATATGACATAGAATATGCTGTGATTTAATTTAGATTTGATTTAATTTCCTTTCTTGTAATATGAACATGTGCTCTTTCTATCTATAAATACTAGAGCTGTGAATGAGTGATTATCTCATCCAAGCCTTTACACAATTCTCTCATTTTTCTTCTTTTATATGTCTACTTCGTATCACAGCCAAGGTGGTCTGACTGCAATGAGGGCATTGCGAGTTACGCATCACCCATTCGGGAATAGTCTAAGGTGACATCGCTCATCCAGGAGGTGTCGGGTAGGCAGGGTGGTCCGACCTCAATAAGGACGTTGCGAGTTTGGCACCACCTATTCAGAAATGGTCTGAGGAGACATTGTTGATTCTTCCATCTACATGTTTTAAACATGTGTATGAAGGAGACATTGTTGGTTGCTTATAGTCTATGGAGACATTGTTTCTTTCTATTCAGGATCTGCAAGGGCCTCCTAAAAACCCAAAGGAAGTGACACAGGAGAAAGAGAGGAATCAAAAATGTGATAGGATGAAGATGAGGAGTCATAAGAAGCAAATTTAGAAACAGAAGGTTGAGTACAAGGCTGCATACTCTTTCTAATAGCAATTGGGATACCACTACTGTCAACTGTAGGTATAACAGGAGACTCGTCACCAGATGAAGAGGAAGGCAACATTGAGATAGGAGTTGAAGCATGGTATTGCAATTAACATGGGTCACATTAGCGATATTCTCCTATCTGACATCTAGGACAACAAACATATCATTCTGGATCCTCCTTATCCAATCTCGTACAAAAAATTCGCTCCTCAATCTCAACCACCCCCCCCCACCCCCCCCCCCCCCCCCCCCCCTTCTCTCTTCCCCCTTATAATGAATGGGAGTGAGAATAAAGTCCTACCCTGTGCTTAGGCTCCGTCCCTAGAACTTGCAACAGAACACAAATATAAGGTTGAATAATAAGGTGCTGTTTGATACAACTAAAAGTGAAGCACAGAAAATTTTAATTACTGGATTTGAAGCATTGAAATTTCAAGTGCTGAATTTATAAATCTGAAAACCTGTTTGATAAAGTTTTAATTTTAAGCGCTGAATTAATTAAGACTGTTTGCTAAATACAAAAGCTGAAATCTGAAAGTTATCAATATCTTGTACTCACAACCTTTTTTATATGTATAACTTCCGGAAAAAAGAAAAACATTTTTATATTTATAATATAAAAGCATTTATAAAACAAACAATTTCACTCGAAGAAATATACCAATTTAATAATGTATATTAATGTCAAAATTGATCATAAAAACTATTAATTCAAACTTAAATAATGAACTTTATTCAAGGAGTACTCATTAACATAATTGTATAAGCAAATGTCTCAAAACTGTTAAATTAAGCTAAACATATAATATTTTAATCTTGAGAACAAAACAAATCATTTGCAATTTAGTCACGCAAATTAACCATATATATATTTTTTGATAAGTAAAGATTGCATAAAAAGCATTCAAAAGGGGAACATGACCCTCAAACGCTCCACAAGGCCAAATAGGGCCTCTAAACCCTCAACGAATCCAAAAAATCAACAATTTCATCCATGGATTTACAATTTCTCCCTTGGACCCAACCAAAAAGGTGCTAATAATGGAGGACTTCAACATCCCAATGGGATTCTCCTTCCCTTTGAAGGATCTCCTATTTCTCTCAAGCCAAAGAAACCACTAGACGCAAAAAAGCGAAACCCTCCAGAATCACATACTTGCGCCCCCACGTAAATTAACCATAAGAATACATTAAAATGTTTAATTTAATAAAATTGCATATATATATATATATATATATACACACTTACAAAAAATAAATAGTATAGTTGACAATTTAAGGTAAAGTTGAGAATTTAACCTAGAGATCTTTGAGTATATCAAGGAGGAGTGATAAAATTTAATATACTTTTTTAGAATGAGAGATCTTAAGAGAAAATATCTAAAAGGCTGGCAAGAATCTATTCTAATTTTTTTTAGATAATATTATGAGATATCTAGAAATGAAAAAAAATAATAATAAACAATACTAGATTTTCAAGAAAAATTTAAATAAAATAAGAAAGTGGAAGTGAGCTATAAATAGGTTGTCCACAACTAAACTAGCAAGCTAGGCAAGAAAGCATAAAATTACAGAGAGTCAATGTTACCATGAAGTTCAAAGTCAGCATTGAAAAAAATGGTCATCAAAAACACTTGCATCTAATTTTCTTGTTAACAACAACAATAGTCCATTCAAATAACAGAACAAATGGCTGCTATTGGAGAACAAAAAGTGAAATAAACAAAATATAAATGGATCAATTATGGTCTAAACTCAAAAAGAAAATGAAAGTATTTTAGGCTTCGTTTGGTTAGATGGAATCAACTAGAAAAGAAAGGAAAGAGAAAATTTTTAAATTTTTTTAGAGTTTGGATAGATAGAAAAAGAATCGTAATAGAAAATATAGTTTCCCGCATTAGACTAGTTTTCCCCAAAACTTTTCTCACACAAAACACGCGAAAATAATATTTTCTCTTGAAAACTGCTTCTTTTTATTTGACGTTCCTATTTTATCCAACAACTGAATCATGTAAAACAACTAACTTCTTTCTTTTCTAACTGAGTTTCAAAGAGGCAAGTTCTCTAACAATTTCTATTTTAGTGGACTTCTAAAAGGCATCTAAACATGTTCTTTTGCAATACTATTTGAACGATTTTTTTTTTTTTTGGTTCCAAATATATACATTGTATCTGATATATATATACACCTCTATTATATATACTAAGAATAATATATATTTTGCTCTTTTTGTGTTCTTTGGTTGAAAGCCCATGACTCCATAAGCCCAAAATTTATTTATTTATTTTGTATTTTTAATCTTCCTTATTTCTCTTAAATGAATAGTTAGTTGTACTTCTACCTAAGAAGTCTTGAAGTATTGTTTTAATTTAAACAATATAAATAATTATATTATTAAATTTATTTATTTTTTTAGTATTTGAAATCATAAGGGTAATTTTGGTACGCACAATCACTTTCTTTTCATTTTTATGCTATCCAAACTAACAAACTAATGTTTTCATACAATTTTCCTGAATAAATTTTCATGCTAACCAAATGCTTGATAGAAAATAACTTTTCTTTTCATTCACTTCACTTTTCTTTCATTTTCCATTTCTTTTCTTTTCTTGCTTA